GTCTAGCTGTGTGGCTAAACGAAAACTAGTTTTTTTTTTTAAATAATTTTTCACTTCAACCGAGCAAAAATGATTTTGTGACGGCCATTAGCACTAGTGTTGTACTTTCGTCAGTCAAAATTTATCCGTTTTTCGTATGTTTTAACGTGTATTTATGTCCGCATTGTGCAGCAAAACACTCGATAGTTAAAAATCTATCACCACTATTGAAGTGCAGTTGATCCGTTAAATTCTGACGTGGTTATTTGTCGAAAATACTTTTCGTCGCAGTGGATTGCTTTTTCTCAAGCGAAGACAGATATCGTGCTTTGTGTACCAACAATAGTGCAGTGTATTTGATCTCCTTATTGCCGCTGGTTTCTGTACCATCCACTACCAGAAAGAGATGGAGCGCAAACAATGTGGACAATGCAAATCGGACATCAACGATCTCGAGCCAGTGCAGTGTGGCTTCTGTGAAACGTTCTACCACATTAGCCAGCAATGTTGTGGCTTCAGCGGCAGAGCCAACAAAGATCTGTTCGCACAGGGAAAGGCGATGTTTGTTTGCCCCGTCTGCCGAGATGAGCTGAATGGTAAAAGCGTGCGGTCCTACATAGACGACAAATTGAAATCGCACGAGCCGTCGTCGCACAGTCTGCCAGACCAGGTTCAGCAGTTATCAACGTTGGTAGAAAGCCTGAGTCAAAAGGTGGATAGTATTGCAGCGGCTCAGAACCAGTCGACCCGTCCGCTGTCTGTCCGTAACCCATCTTCCTGGCCTAGGTTGGGTGCCAATCGCGGTCAGAAACAAGTTATCACTGCTAAAACTGATCGTGGAACGAATGCGATCGACCTCAGTGGGCTTTCGGTTGCATCACTTACACCCACTCCAGCTCCCCCAAAGTTTTGGCTCTATTTGTCTGGCTTTCAGCCGTTAGTCACAACGGACGACGTTCGAAAAATCGTCGCGCGATGCCTGAATGTGACTAACTCTTGCGATGTTGTTCGTCTAGTGCCGAGAGGAATGGATATCAAAAATATGTCGTTCATATCCTTCAAGATTGGACTAGATCCTTCCTTAAAGCAGCAATCTCTGCTTGCCACGACTTGGCCATCTGGTTTGCTGTTCAGGGAGCTCATCGACGAGCCAAAAAACCGGAAGAAGTCGAATGCGGACGAGGAAAGCGATTTAGACGCAGATCCCGAGTCACCAACGGTATAGAATTCGGACGTTTTTCCGTGGACGGTGGGAACCCTCGGGTTCCCATCACAGGCGAGTATTGTCATTCTGCTTCTCGTATACCAGCACTCAATCGTTTTGCGTTGCAGCGTTTCCCCACCTCTCATGACTCCAGTCTCCCACTGACTCCAGACACCGAAGCTGCTGACTCAACAAACACCGAACCGGGACGCATCATGGAAAGCACTGTGGAAGCCCTCGATCTCTCCAGCCCGGTCCTGCCTATCGCTGCCAGCGCTCATCATAGTCGTCCCGGACCCGTGGTTGGATGTAGAGAGAGGGTCTTCCAGCCTGCTTCTTCAGGCAAGTACCATGCGAATGTGGAATTTCCTCTTCCTGAAGTGTCTTCCAATTCCAGCGGCCCTAGTTGCAACGTTCCATCTCCCACCTTGGCTCTCTCTCCTGTCATCGAGTCTGCTCTAGTTGGCAATGAAGAAGCAGTTAATGGTATGCGGTTCTACTACCAAAACGTGCGAGGACTACGAACCAAGGTGGATTCCTTCTTTCTTGTCGCAAGCGAGTGCGATTATGACGTCATAGTGCTGACCGAGACCTGGCTCGACGACCGTATATACAGTGCGCAACTATTCGGGGACACCTTTGCTGTATATCGCACTGATAGAAATGGCTCTAATAGTACGAAGACCCGCGGAGGTGGTGTTTTGATTGCGGTTTCTACCCGTTGGAACAGCTATATCGACCCTTCACCCGTCAGCGATGGTTTGGAGCAACTGTGGGTTAGAGTGACTATGCCGAGCCGAGTTGTCAGCGTGGGCGTAATATACCTACCACCGGATCGTCGTAACGATAGCAGCAGCATACAAGACCACGTGGATTCCATCGGTGCCATTGTTGCTAACTTGGGATTCAATGATTTTGCTCTACTGCTTGGAGATTACAACCAGCCTGCTCTCCAATGGAGGAACTCAGACGATGGGTCTATGCAAGTTGAGCCTCAAACTGCTTTGATGTCTGCAAGCTCGGCGCTTATCGATGGCTTCTCTCTGCATAGCCTCACGCAGCTCAATGGTATATCGAACAGAAATGCTCGCTTCCTAGACCTTGTTCTGTCGAACGAAGCTGCAACTCCAGCATGTGTTGTTTCGGAGGCTGTTGAACCTCTGACCACACTAGATCCTGACCATCCTGCTCTGGATGTAATGATGCAACTTCCGCCGCAGGTCGTTTTTGAGGCGCGCACCGACGATTCTCGTACCTTCGATTTTAGACGAGCTGATTATGCTGAACTTAGCGCTGCTATCTCCAGGGTCGACTGGCGACCAATAGAATTAGCTGACTGTGTTGACGATGCCGTCAATTACTTCAGGCAAACTATTTGCGATATCATGGCTGAATTTGTTCCTCTTTCACGACCTGCGCCGAAGCCCGCATGGTCTAATGGTCACCTGCGTCGATTGAAACGGTACAGGGCCAAAGCGTTACGAAGATACTGCCGAAATCGTTCATACATCACGAAGCAAGAGTTCAACCGTAGCAGTAATAATTATAGGAAATACAACCGATACTTGTACCGCCGATATGTGCTCCGTACACAGGCATCCCTTCGCAGGAACCCAAAGCGTTTCTGGTCGTTTGTTAACTCAAAAAAGAACGAAGTCGGTTTGCCTTTATCAGTTCATCTCGGTGAACAATCCGCCAGCTCTGAAACAGAAAAGTGTCGTCTCTTCGCTCAACATTTCATGAGTTCTTTTAATGATATGTCGGCATCACCTAACCAAGTTGGAATAGCAACCCGCGATACTCCAAGAGATGCGTTTGATTTTCGTTCATTCCAAATCGATGAGCATACTGTTGAATTGGCTATTCAAAGGTTGAATCTCTCGTATGCTGTTGGTCCGGATGGGATTCCCTCGTCCGTCCTAAAGCTGTGCTCTGAATCGCTACTCACTCCCTTGGCAAAGTTGTTCAACTTGTCTTTGCAGGAGTGCAAATTTCCTGAGGCATGGAAATTTTCGTACATGTTCCCAGTGCACAAAAAAGGTGACAAAAGGAATGTCCAGAACTACAGAGGGATCACATCGTTATGCTGCTGTTCCAAAGTGTTCGAGATTATCATCAACGAGGCACTTTTCAGTTCCTGCAAAAACTACATTTCCACGGCTCAGCATGGATTCTATCCAAAGCGGTCAGTTACGACAAACTTGACTGAATTCGTGTCACTTTGCGTTCGGACCATGGATTCTGGTGGACAAGTCGACGCCGTTTACACTGATCTGAAGGCTGCATTTGATCGAGTTGACCACTGCATATTACTGGGCAAACTTGAAAAACTTGGCGTTTCTGACTCCATGATTTCATGGTTCACGTCTTATCTCACAGACCGCTCGCTCTGCGTTAAGATTGGCGCCTCGCAATCTGAAGTATTCACGAACATCTCCGGTGTTCCACAAGGAAGTAATCTGGGACCGCTTTTGTTTTCGTTGTTTATCAATGAGCTTTCTCGTCTACTGCCACCTATTCTGACTATTCTACGCCGACGACGTTAAAATGTACATGATCATCAATAGCATCGCTGATTGTGAGGATTTGCAACAGATTGTGGATCATATGCAAAGCTGGTGCTCCCGTAACTACTTGACGCTTAGCATCAATAAGTGCAATGTGATATCCTTCTACCGTAAGAAGAAACCGATCAGATTTGATTATTCCATCTCCGGCCAGATTTTGGAGAGAGTTAGTCAAGTCAGAGACTTAGGAGTTACTCTTGACTGTGCATTGACGTTCAAGCCCCATTACAATGACGTCCTGAACAAAGCCAACAGACAGCTTGGTTTTATATTCAAAATCTCCGAAGACTTTCGTGACCCGCTGTGCCTGCGGGCATTGTATTGTTCATTGGTCCGCTCTATTTTGGAGTTCAGTGCTGTCGTTTGGTGCCCTTATCAGGCCTGCTGGATTGCAAGGTTTGAGAGTGTACAAAGGAAGTTTGTTCGTTACGCGCTACGTCATCTACCCTGGCGTGATGCATCTAACTTACCTTCATACGGGGACCGCTGCCGCCTGCTTGGGATTGATACCCTGGAAACAAGACGACGTAATGCTCAAGCTGTCTTTGCCGCTAAGATTATTATCGGTGAAATTGACTCCCCACAACTACTTCGGCAGCTCTACTTCTACGCACCTGAGAGAGTAATGAGACAACGTAACTTCGTTCATCTTGCGACTCGTAACCGACAGTATGGGATGAATGAGCCTATCCGCGCCGTGGCTAATGCGTTTAATGATGCTTATTGTTGCTTCGATTTTAATGTACCGTTAACTGTTTTTATCAGAAGAATGTCCTGAATGTATAGATTGACTAAGCATCCTTTTAAACTTAGATTATTCATTAAGACAACCAAAAGTCAGATGAATTAAGATTATAATAAATAAATAAATAAATAAATGTATTCGGTATTTGGCCGATGACCGAATAGTGCTAAACGGTGTAACGAAATTAAACATCAGCTTTAAAATTACTGCAAAACTGCCTTTCAAGTGAAATGACCTCCCCGGAAGGATTCATATCAAACGAAAGTGATGCGATACTAAATGTGAAGGATCCTTGAATTCAGTCAACAATTTTCTGCTCACTAAGCAAAAACGGCAACCACCAGGCAGCCGAGCCTCTTACATTGCACGACAAGCATATTAAAAGTTATGTACATGACTGGATACCCAGGCACTCAGCACCCATTTCAATAACACGATATAGAAAAGAAAAGCATAAAAAATCCTCACGCCAACGGATTTCGATGAATTGAAGCACAAACTAATGTTTCAATTGAATTCAGTAGTAACTTTGCGTTTTATTATTTTGTATAATCTGTTCTGTATAATCTGTATTGCCTATCAACGATAACATGCTATCTTACAACCTAACACTAGTACTGTTCTGCTTTTACTATTTTCTAGTGACTGTAAAAATATATATCATCTATAAATACGTAAACTCTATAAATCCGTTAAAGCTTATTCAACAAACGTTCACTAGGCTCTCTATCGCTGTCACTTAAAGCTAAGGTACGAAATTAAAATAAGCATTCCTGTTGCTTTCATTAGAACCAGCTATGAAATCCTTAACACAACATAACACACATGCAGCTTTTTACTAGACATCTAATTTGTGATGTAGAAAGGGACCAAGGTACATAATGTTTTCTTGTGTTCAATGCACCTTCAAGTCGAAAATCTCCCGCAACAGGGGTTCCACCTGGGCCGGATTCACGTCCAAATAGACGCTGATTATTTCGTCGTTCAACCGGTGCAGCTCGGAGATTTTCTGCATCAGCTTCAGAAAGATGGACCTCGCTTCACAGCCCGGGTAGATACTTTCCAGGTACCGTCGCAGCAAATAGTAGTAGGAATTCTAGAAGGTGTGAGGTGAGGTGTAATTTGGGAAGAAGTAACTGAATTTTCAATCGCATAAGCCTACCTGTTCCAGCTTTATCACATCGGAGTGCACCGTTTTCGGCCGATCGGGTGAAAACAGCGTTATGGCACACATGATCAGGATTATGTTCTCGTCCGAGCGCCACTTTTTGTCGAAGGTACGAATGAATTCTTCATGCTCCTGGTAGACGTTTCCTTTCGCCAGCTTCAGCACGTCCGCCCTGATGTTGGACATCTCCTCCTGGCTGTGGGGAATCTAAACAAGGAGAATGATAATGATATCAGTTTTCCAGTAAAGAGAAAATGGTGACAGCACGAACCTTCCAGCTAGCCCTATCACAGTCGTATTGCATGGCCGAGCGGAGTATCATCATCTCGGTGCAGCCCGCTTTGAGCAGTGCCAGCTGATCCTCCTGGCACATGTTCTTAAATGCGCTTATCTTTTTGGACATCTTGATGAGACGCCGGATGGCAATTGCCGTTAGGTTGACCACTTTCAACAGCAGAGGATCGTGCTGGTTTTGGTTGGACTGTGAATAGAAAATGCAATAAGGAAATAGAATGAAATCAGGTTCATCATCGGTCGTTTTATGCCGAATGAAGCGAGCAATGCTCGAGAACGAAAAATCATTTTTTTGATTACTCCAGTTGATCTCGTTTAGTATGGATTAACACAGCAAAACTGAGAGCATAATTTTAAACTTTTGAATCAAACGGAAAACTAATCCTGCTTTCTTGAATCAATTTGATTACTGGATTATGTTTTCATCTCTTTTTCCAGTGGTGGCAGGGGGGATACCCCTCACCATCTCTCTCCAACAGGGGAGTTTGGTAAAGAGAGATGATCAAACCGATTTATACCTTCCGAAAAAGTTGTCCTTGCTCGCTTTCTACTCTCTATATAAAATTTTCACACTGGCGTACTCTAACGGAACTATCAATTACCACTTTAGTCTGTTACTTGAAATTAGCATCTTCAACTATGTAAATCGTTAATTTCACGCAGAAGTAATACAAAACAAATAGTTAAAGTACATAACTCTGGATGGGAGCTTACCATCAATAACTGTCATTGGTCGAAAGGTACAGTAGCAGCAGCTACCCTACCCGTGTCCCCTTGAGATCGTCAAGTCGACGCTGACAGGAGCACATACCGTGGTAGAGGTAACAATAGCTGCAATTTCCAAACCTACGACTGGATGCCTTCCTTCAGATAACAACTTGAGCGCGGTACAATCGATAGAACTGTTTCAAACACATCGTCGGTACTCTATATGTACTTTCATCTTCTCATCTATCACATAAAAATTACCACTTTAGTCTGTTATTTGAAATTAGCATCTTCAACTATGATATCAAGCTTATTTCGTGAACATTGAAATCAAAATTAGTTTCAGCGAGGTCTTCACGCTCGGATGCTGCACGAAAACACAGGTAACGCTCTACCGGAAGCCAGATTCTCGTCCAGCGTATTGCCCTAAGATACCGGTTGCCTACGCTGCACTTCCAAAGGTTGATGCTGTGCTCAAAAGGCTTCAAGACAACGGCATCATTTTACCAGTCAAGTTCTCCGATTGGGCTGCTCCCATAGTTGTGGTTCGCAAGTCCGATGTCTCCGTTCCGTACGCATTTGTGGTGACTACTCTACAGGTCTCAACGATGCCCTCGAGTCAGATCGCCATCCACTGCCACATCCAGACGACATCTGCGCTGAACTAGCCGGATGCCGTTTCTTCTCCAACATCGATTTATCGGATGCCTACCTGCAGGTCGAGGTTGAAGAAGCATCTCGAAAGCTGCTTACTTTACTCATAAAGGACTGTTCCAGTACAATCGATTGCCACCAGGAGTCAAATCTGCGCCTGGAGCGTTCCAGAGGATCATTGACAGTATGGTGTCAAGCCATACCTGGACGACATCTTGATCGCTGGAAAAACTCAGCAGGATCATGATCGCAACCTGAACGCTGTGCTTCACCGGATTCGTGAGTATGGCTTCCACTTACGCATCGAGAAGTTCCGGTTCTCTCTTCCGCAGATCAACTTTCTGGGTCACATAATCGATAAAGATGGTCTCCGAGATGTCACCACCGATGAATGTATCGCAACTACGTTCGTACCTTGGTGCGATCAACTATTACGGTCAGATGCAGGAACTTCGAGCGCCACTTGACCGTCTACTAAAGAAGGATGCTCCTTGGAAATGGACCGCGGACTAACAAAAGTCGTTGACCGTTTCAAAACCATCCTGGTCTCCGATCTCCTGCTGACTCATTTCGACCCAAACAAGGAAATCATCGTCGCTGGAGACGCTTCCAAGAATGGTTTGGGCGCTGTAATCCTACATCGTTTCTCCAACGGCTCCGTCAAAGCCGTCGCTCACGTTTCGAAGTCGCTGACACCTGCAGAAGAAAACTATGGTCAAATTTAGAAGGAAGCGCTCGCGTTGGTATTTGCTGTCACCCGTTTTCATAAGATGATATTCGGACGAAAATTCGTGCGGCAGACCGACCACAGACCGCTTCTTAAAATTTTCGGCAGCAAAAACGGCATTCCCGTTTACACCGCCAATCGTCTTCAGCGTTGGGCGCTAACGATGCTGCTGTATGATTTCGACATCCAGTTCATCCCAACGGCTAGTTTTGGACATGCCGACGTGTTGTCCCGCTTGATGAGCTGTCACAGCAAACCAGACGAGGAATACGTGATTGCTGCTCTCCAAACGGAATCTGACGTGAAGGCAATTCTCGCAGACTCAATATCCAGCTTGCCGGTCACATCCGATATGATCTCCAAGGAAACGCAAGACGACCCGGTCCTACTAGAGGTAATCAACTACATCCGCAATGGGTGGCCAAACACTGTAAGCAAGCTACCAGACACAGCTGTTTGTCAGTTCTATTCCCGACGAGAGAGCCTCCAGGTCACCCAAGACTGCGTCATGTTCGCTGACAGAATTGTAGTTCCAGAACGATTCCGCAAGCGTATCATCCGACAACTCCACCGTGGCCACCCCGGAATAGACCTAATGAAGTCACTCGCAAGAAGTTTCGTTTACTGGCCCAACATCGACGACGATGTTAAAACGTTTGTGCGCCAGTGTCACCCCTGTGCTGTTGCAGCAAAATCGCCCCGTAAGACTACCCTTGAATCGTGGCCGATACCAACGAAACCGTGAGAGAGGTTCCACATCGACTACACAGGTCCAGTTGATGGTTATCGCTACCTCGTCGTGGTCGACTCCTATTCGAAGTGGCCGGAAATCTTCAGGTCCCACAGTATAACTACTACAGCGACATTGGAAATTTTGCAAGAAACTTTCGCAAGGTACGGCAACCCACACACTCTAGTTTCGGACAACGGTACCCAGTTTGTAAGTGCTCGATTCAAGCAATTTTGTGAAGAAAATGGGATCCACCACCTGACGACAGCCCCTTACCACCCACAATCGAATGGACAAGCTGAACGCTTTGTCGACACCCTTAAGAGAGGACTGAAGAAACTCACCGAAGGGGAAACCATGGTAACATTCCAGCATCTCCAGACGTTCCTCTCAGTTTTCCGGTCAACTCCAAATAGAAGCGCTCCGGATGGTAAGACACCTGCCCATATATTTGTAGGAAGTCCAACACGAACAACGCTGGACCTATTGAAGCCCTGTGTTCAGAGTCCAACCTTGGAGAACAAGAAGCAGAACGCTGAATTCAACAGACGGCATGGCGCAGTGAAGAAATCATTCGATCCGGATGATTTGGTCTACGCTCAGGTCCATCGTCGCAACACAATCGATTGGATTCCAGAACAGGTAATCGAGCGCAAGGGCAAAGTGAACTACACATGGACGCTTGATTCGAACACACACCAACCAGCTGAAACGATATCCGGATGAAAATGATGCCGATCAATCTCCAAATCCACGCAATCAACTTCCCTTGGCCTTGCTAGTTGACGAGTTCCACCTACAATCTCCAATTCCAGATGATGAACTGATTCCTGATGATGACGAGCCCGATGATGTAATGACGGATGACGAATCTGCTAACAGTGTGAAAATTCAAGAACCGTTCAACAGCGTGAAGAAAGAACCCGTAGACTTCCAGCTTAGCTGGCACCCTACGATCTCTTTTGAAAAAAAGGGAGATGTACCATCGGCGTACACATCAGAAGAATATGTTACCTGGTAGGCCATGATTTGTAGCCATGGTACGAAAGTAACAAACTGAAAATATTTTGTGAGTTTGGTTCCAACCACCGAAGAGACAAGTCGAAATATAATTAGCTCTTAAGATGATACTCTAATGTCAGCTTCCACAAAACATACAAATTTGAAATTGCTGCTCCTTGTTTGCTGTGCTACTACAAACAGAGAGTAGCAATTTCAAATTTGTATGTTTTGTGGAAGCTGACATTTGTGCCTTTCAAGTTTCACGCTAAGGCTTCCTTAGAGTATCACCTTAAACCTAAAATTAGTTTCCTTCTCTTCGAGAACACAACAAATATCGATCTGCTTTCATTTTCTTAACGGACTTTGCTCGGGGAAGAAGTGTGTCTCGGTGATGGTATCATCGAAGATGCGCGGTTGCAACATATGGTTATTGCTTGGTAGGTAGTAGATAAGGCAATCACATCCGATTTGGTCTAGTGAATGTTTTTTTTTTTCATCGTTGAGAAACAATGATGGCTAACAGGTCATTAGCAGACTATTCCACTGGAAACAGGTGGCATTGTTTTTGCGATATGATAAGATTATAGATTGTGTATTATCGTCGGCATTGATAGCCACCTATCCAATCGGAGTTTTAATTTCCGCTGATACCTGTAATAGCTTCATGGATTCACAAAATCAGACGGCTTTAGTGTTTACAACTAAGGTAAAAGACGCATGCAGAGTGTATGCGTTTATGTACCTTAGTAGCAGTAGCAATCAGGCTAAGGCCTTGTTGTCCTCTGCTGTCTCCACTCTACTCGATCCATGGCCACACTTCGCCGGCCTCGTAGTCTGCGAAGGGTCCGCAGGTCGCCTTCTACTTGGTCGACCTACCTTGCCCGCTGTGCACCTCTTCTTCTTGTTCCTGTTGGGTCGCTTTCTAGAACCATTTTCACTGGGTCGTCGTGCGGCATTCTTACGACGTGCCCAGCCCACCGTAGTCGCCCAATTTTTGCAATGTGGACGATGCATGGTTCTCCCAGCAACACCTTCCATTTGAAAACACCAAGGGCGCGTTGGTCCTCCACGAGCATAGTCCAGGTCTCGTGGCCGTAGAGGACTACCGGTCTAATCAGCGTCTTGTAGACAGTAAACTTCGTGCGGCGGCGAATTTTCGTCACCGTCAATCGGAATTCGGGGTGGGAGGCTAACATTGTCTTCCCTAGAATCTCTTCCTTTCATGTATTTTGTCTTTGATGCGTTGATGGCAAGTCCAATCCACCTAGCTTCAGCCTTCAGTCTGATGTACGTTTTCGCCACCGTCTCAAAGTTCCGTGCCATGACGTCGATGTCATCGGCGAAGCCAAGAAGCTGGATGGACTTC